CATCATCATCATCATTATTATTATTGTTTTTTTTCTTTTATTAGGATAAAAGAAGCGATGCTTGCCGCAAAGTTGATCAACTATGTTCGAATAACACCGACTGTTCTGGACGATGTAATGGTAGTGCTATGATATGTACCAATCCTCGAGGCTCATCCATCCTTATAACGGTGCTTGATCTTAGACCCCGTTGCAAAAGGTTGCCAATCGATCAGTGCAACAAAGTTAATAAAATATGTTCGCAAAATAGCGACTGTTCTGGAACATGTAATGGAAGAACGATGGTATGTTCCAAGCCTCGAGGCTCATCCATCGTTATATCGGTGCTTAATCTTAAACCCCGTTGCAGAATTGTTCCTCAAGGTTAATGAGTAACCAGTCGACTGAAAAACGCAATTCACAAAACTTGAAATAAAGTGCATTTTTTCAGCTAATTTTTGTCTTTTGAGTTTATTTTTTGAAAGATTTCTTGACTTCATAAAACGCTTTTGTTTCGGGGTTCAATCTATGAATTACCCATACCCTGACATTGTCCTTCTACTTAAAACAAATCTTGATCATAAAAAATCTTCAATGCATTTTTTTCCTTAGTTTTCGAATACCTGCAGTGCATTTTTCCTTGCCGATATAACTGTTCTCTCACTGTCACTCTACCTGCCAAGATAGCCGTGAGATAAAGAACAAAGAATTTTCTAATTCGTCACGCGAATTTTTTTTCTTGCCAACATTACAATTATATATCCAATCGATGTTAGAATGTACTCTTTCGAGAGTCGTTAGAGGAGTGTCATCAAAGAAGAATTGATATATGATGTACGAGGAAGTAGAGATCCCCATTTGTAATTCGTTACAAAGAGTAATTAGTGCACTTGTAAATTTTCGCTCTTTTTCTCTTTAATATTGTTGTGGCTTCATCGACGGACCTAAATCCTGTGTACTAAATGAATAAACCTATGATTCATAAGAAGCCGTATTGTAGAAGGTTTCTCATAAGTTCATCGCCTTAAACTAAGGAACAACAGTAAGTGTAA